GACGCCTGGTACTGGATCCAGGACCAGCGCTTCGCCGGCCTTCGCAAGACGGCTGCTGGTGCTGGTGCTGCCGGCGGGGCTGCCATCTCCCTGCGTGACGAGCTCTCGCGCTGCGGAAAGGTGGACGACGAGGCTGTGCACCTGATTACTTCTGCGCTGGTGCAGCGCTTGGCCAAGTTGATGATGATGCCCGAGGATGATGTCGATGCCGGCAAGCCCCTGAGCGCTTACGGTGTTGACAGTCTGGTCGCTGTTGAGGTGCGCAACTGGATTGCGAAGGAGGTGGCGGTGGAGGTTAGTGTGTTTGATATCATGGCGAATATCCCCATGAGACAGCTTGCTGCGGATTTGGCGGGCAAGAGCAAGCTCCTGGTTCAGGAGTCTTCATAAATTGTTGAGATTTGCATGAGATGGGAGTTTGGGGCTTAGAACTGGGTTTTCTTCCGCATTCGGTAGCGTCTTGCTTTGTTACTATGTCTTGTGTTAGTTTTCAAGTGCGTGTTTTTATTTCAAGAATAAGTCACAAGAAAAATCTTTTCTTTGAGATGAAACAAGTGTGAGTTGAGACAGACTCTCAAAGCGACCTATTTCACAGTGACCTCCTGGTGAATGTTAGCTGTCATGAACCTGGATAGGTGATTGTTCAGGTCGGTCGTGATAGCACTCTTCGACGTAGCTACTTTCGCCATAGTAACATTTCTCATGAATCGTGTCATTCGTAAATGTCGGAGGCTCCCGACGTTTGTAGATGCTTCCATCTCAACTTTGGTGTTTCCTCGCTGTCTCCCACCTCCCGATGAACTCTCACCTCCAGGAATTGCAGGGAACCATAGAGTCAGGGGTGTCCTTGAAAATGGGGTTCTATCAGAAAACTCCACAATCCAGGGTCTGGAGTGAGAGGTTCACGAACAATCGAACATGACTCGTAGCTGCAAGACAAGGGCTCCCGGCTCTGAGCTTCCCCTGCAACTCGAAGCCATCACCTTTCACTTGTCCACGTGCTCAACCCTCGATCGTGCTGAAAGATAGCGGTTTCGGGAATTTCCCATGGAATTCTAATTGAAATGATTCAAAATCCCACCGGCACTCGTCCCCCATTTGGCTCGTCGTAAACCGCAGTCCCTTAAAGCGCCCGAGTGTGCCGCTATTCCGAGCCATTCCAGTCAGTCTCTTGCGTTCGAAGGTTTTCGCAAACGTCACATCAAGCCCTTGCCGATCATGGCAACCAAATCTGATGCGCCGTCTCCGCAGCCGAAAGAGATGAAGGTGCTCTCCCTGGGCATGACAAGGACGGGTAGGTCCAAGATTTCGTTTCCACGTAGCACTCAAACTACCTTGGCTGACAATCACGGCAGGTTCTGCATCCATCACGCAGGCCCTCACGATCCTGGGCTACGATGGTGTTCACCACGGCATCCAGGCCATCTCCTCCCCCCGCGAGTGGACTCTCTTCTCCGCCGCCGCAGACTCGACCTTCCCCACCCTGCCAACTTACACCGGCGCGCCCTTTCCCCGCGAAAGCTGGGATTCGCTCTTCGGTAAATACGAAGCGGTCACCGACATGGGCTCCTTCTTTGCCGTGCAGCTCATCCAGGCATACCCTGAAGCGAAGGTCATCCTTGTCGAGCGGGACGTGGACAGCTGGTTCCAGAGTATGGATGAGGCCATCTTCAAGACGACGTGGGGGTGGCGCGCGGATCTCATCATTGACTACCTCGGCCCCCGCTGGGGATTGGCAGGTGGACAGACCCTGAGAAAGATCCTTCTCGGATTCTACGGGGTACGCAACGTCAGCGAGATGAGAGCTATCGCCAAGGAGAGGTACAAAAGGCACTACGCTGAGGTGCGTGCTGCGGTGCCGAAAGAGAGGTTATTGGAGTTCAACCTCAAGGAGGGCTGGGAGCCACTGTGCAGTTTTCTTGGCAAAGACGTTCCAGAGGGAGTTGCGTTCCCCGTGGCGAACAAGAGACAGGAGCACCTTGATCGTGTGAGGACGAGGCAGAACCGCTTCTTCAAGCTGGCGATCTTCGTGGGTCTGCGAAAGACGTTGCCTTGGGTGTTTGGAGTTGGTGCTGTAGCGGCTGGTGTCTATTTGACAAAGCCAAAGTGGGCGTTGGATGTGTTTGAGAACGCCCTGAAGACTATCCAGACTCATCTGAGATCTTTGAACTTGTAATGATTGTGTTGTGTAAATATTCAGTAATGATATCTACCTGTCATGGGCATTGGATTTGGCTTTAGATTGGTCTTGGCAGGTAGAGAACCACCATGCACACATACAGTGTATATTCTGTTAATGACAGCACATGTCGCTGAACGTTTTTAGCAATCAAATCTGAAATCTAATCGCTTGTTTCCCCGATCGGCGTTGTCGATGAGATATTGCTGCTGCTCCTCAATTGACATCGCGTTCCATTGTCTCTCCTTCTGTTTGTTCCTCCAAACATAGTATGCTTTTGTCAGCACATACAAGACAATTACCGCGACATTGATAGCAATAAGATTTTGGTTGCCTCTTGGGTACCACGGAGGATTGTCATCCTTGCGGTAGATATTTGAGGATGCTATGCCTGAGAGCTGCACCATGATGTTGTAGACCGCGGCGCTGACTGCCCGTGTGCGGACAGAGTTACTAATGCGAGAACACCAGCTCACCTGAGCTGCATGTACCGAAGGGGAGGCGAGCAGCATGAATAATACGGCGTAAAGAGACCAATTTGAGAGACGTTGTGCTGAGGTATAGATGACAACCAAGAACGGCAAAGACCAGAGTTGCGAGATCAGACCGAAGAGAGATATTTGGTGCTGGTGATGTTAGCTAAGTAGAAACTGGAAAAATGGGAGTGTACTTACGAAATATTCCGTCAGGAAGGTGATGCCCTGTTGTAAATATTGTCTTAGTCACGATACAAGAGACAGTAAAGTGTGTGGGATTGACAGGACTTACCAACATGGTGCAGCTAGCGGCGACTGTTACTGGGATATTGAGAAGGGTAGTAGTAAAACGATCGTAACCGATAGCTTTGAGAGAAAGGTTCAGATACTGGCCGGGAGGGTCCCCGGGCATCTGGAACAAAATTCCGATGGCATAGATCGGCCACAAGTCATAATCCTTCAGACTCTTCCATAGCATAGCAGGCGTAATTCCCTCTCTGTTATGCATGTCGGCTTTCGAGGGATCGTCTCTCAGGACACGGTTTACAATGATCTTTTCTTCGCGCTCGGTAAAATACCCGGTCGGTTTCCACCAGCTCTTTGTTTGGGTAGGTCCGGGTACCATAAACAGAAAGCTCAAGAAACCAATCGTGACACTGATTATAGCCTCAATGAGAAATAACCATCGCCAGCCCTCACGACCTCCGACGCCTCGAAGGTTGAAGACACCGTAGGCGATAAAGGAGGCAATGACCGAGGACATTGAGTTGACGAACCAGAAGATGGCCAGCCTCATAGGCATCTCGCTGTTCTTGTAGAAGTATGAAAGATACAAGAGTGCATCTGGGATGTAGCCTCCCATGGCTAAGCCGATGAAGAATCGGCAGGCGAAGAATGTGGCGCGGTTGGTCATGAAGAACTGGCCGCCGGATGCAATACTCCAAAGGATGATTTGCGTCGGGATCCAGCGGTCTGTGCCAATTTTCTTTCCAATCATTTGTGAAGGCAGCTCGGCAATCAGGAATCCGACGCGATACATGTTTTGCGCGTTGTTGTAGTCGTTCGTGTTGATGCCAAGGTCGTCAACGAGGCCGTCTGCTGTGGCGAGTCCAAGGTTTCCACGATCGATGTTGAGGGCGAAGAACATGACCAAAACCCAGATGAAGATGCGTATATCGACCTTTTATTGTTAGAGAAGAAGACGAATATTTTGGTGTACGGTTTTGAGTACCTTGCGGCGAACAGCTTGCTCTTCTCTGTGCGTCCATCTTTCATTTGGGTCAAAAGCACGATAATTCTCGTATTCTGGTTTGGGGTGGTAGAACTGGGCTAGATCCGGGTTGTCAAAGACACTACGCACAGTAGCAATAGCGTCCGGGTCGACTTTTTGTCTTTTGTTACGAACAAATCCCCAACTTGTGTAGGTTTCTTGTTGAACAGGCGGTTCCGCGAGGTCATCCGTCGGGACCTTTAGATCAGGAATGCCCGTCGAAACGACGTCTGGCTCCTTTTTCGAATCAATGCCAATGGACACCATATTTTCATGGCAAGAGAATAAAACCGTATTCCTGTTGAAAGACTTCCAGCAGATCTTGCATCCTTTTTTGAACTGGAAATCGACCGGTCAGGCTCCGACATTCGCTGCCAGTCTCGGGGCATTGGCTACCGAAATGATGAAAGACCCCACGAGATGTTAACCATAAAAGCTTTTAACTTTAGGCAAATGGGTCGATGGCACGCTAAATTGTGCAACTGAACGGTCGGGTTGATCACACAATAGCACGCCATATGACGTCTAGCCAGTCATTGGCCGTTCCGGACCCCGGGAGCCGGGGGCTAGGCCGGAGCGATAAGAGCTATCGGTGAGCTCCACTTTGTCCGGCCCCGCTCCGGCTGCATGCCCTGCTCGGCCCGGGCTGGACTTTAGCCGACGAAACCCCTCTCAAACGCGCCATAATCCTCCGGATGACAACATCAATTCTACCTTGCTTCTGCATATTAACCGTGGATTTCCTTTCTTCCTCGCGGTCAAAAGGCTTGGCGACTCGGAGCTATCCGCAACCCGTCTGCTGGCTTCTGAATCCCGCCGGGCACTCGATTTGGCAGTTTCCCAATTCGGAACCTTGCAGCCAGTCGGAGATAGCTGTCCGCACAGGGCTTTCCGGCAAACCCTCTCATTGCCGAAATTCGCGATGGCATCATCCCAAAAAACCAGAGTCCGGTGGCTCGGACAGACACCGCCGACAGCCTCAGGGGTCACCTTCGCTGTGCCTTGGCGTGCAGGTGCTTGCAATGCCAAGAATGCCGTGTTTTCGTGCACTTCAGAAAGTGGCAGGTCGATTTCCATGCAAACTTGGCCGATCGCTTATTGGCCTGACGGGACGACCAAATGGACTAGCCATGCCATACCAAAGACGACTGTGGTAGAGGGCGCTTATGATGTTAAAGCCGAACGCGATGACTCCCACGCGACTAGCCATCCTGCTGCGATTGACGTCAACGAAACTTCCGAGAGCATCAAAATATCGACTGGAAAGATCACAGCTGCTTTCCCAAAGTCGGGCACCACAATAATCAAGGACATCATCAACGCCAAAGGCGACACCGTGGGGACCGACGGCCACCTCGTTCTGCTTTCTCAAACTGGAATCAGTGATCCCGAAACCCCGAATCCGTCCATTCTATATCATCAGTTCAACTGCGCGATCGACAAAGTAGAGCTAGAACAGGCTGGGCCCGTTCGTGCTGTCATAGCTGTAAGCGGAGTGCACTCCGAAGTTTCACGAAGCACTTCGGCCAAGACGGCTTCACACCCGGACTGGATCCCCTTCAAACTGCGATTCTATCTATACTCTGGATCGGAAGCTATTCGAGTTGTTCACACGATCACGTATGACGGGAACAATAACGACTTCATCAGAGGCATCGGGATCCGACTGAAAGTTCCCCTCGCACGCGAGGCCCCTTTCGACCGTCACGTTCGTTTTGCCGGCGCGTCAGGAGGTACACTTTGCGAAAGCGCCCAAGGTATTACGGGGCTATGGAAAGACCCAGGGAAGGATGCGAGACTCGCCCAAGTCCAGGGGAAACCTCTTCCACCCCCTGATTCATGGAATCCTGAGCTGCCGCAGGCTTCTCTCCGATGGATTCCTACTTGGAACGATTACAGCCTGCACCAGCTTTCCTCAGACGGCTTCACACTTGAGAAGCGCCTGAAGGAAGGCCATCCATGGATCAAGACAGCCAGCGGGACAAAGGCAGGAGGCTTGGTCTACGTCGGTGGTGCCAGTAGGGGCGGGCTCGCGGTTGGATCGAGACATTTCTGGGAGCGGTACCCAACTGCAATCGATGTGCGCGGTCTTGGATCTTCTCAAGATACAGCCGAGTTGACACTCTGGCTTTACGACCCGAAAGCCGGGCCAATGGACCTGCGTCCCTACCATGACGGTTTGGGACAAGAGGGTTTTGACGACCAGCTTGACGCGCTGAAGATCACTTATGAGGACTGGGAGCCGGAGCTTGGATCGCCGTTTGGAGTTTCCCGTACGAACGATCTTTTCTTCTTCGCGACCGAGTCAACACCAGAAGCAAACGATTTTGCAGATTTAGCCAGATATATCCGGGATCCCCCAAAACTGTTCGCTGACCCAGAAGCCATTCATGCAAGCGGGGCCTTTGGCAAATACTGGTCTCCAAGATCTCATCCAGCGGCCAAGAGTTTGGTTGACATTGATGAAAGACTCGATTTTCTGTTCGAATTTTATAAAGAGCAGGTCAAACAGCGTCGATGGTACGGCTTCTGGGACCACGGAGACATCATGCACACGTATGATGCTGATCGCCATACGTGGCGTTACGATGTTGGTGGATATGCGTGGGATAATTCAGAACTTTCGCCGGACCTATGGTTATGGCTGTTCTTTCTGAGGTCCGGACGACCGGACGTGTTCAATATGGCAGAGGCCCTCACGCGCCATACTGGAGAGGTAGACGTGTATCATTCAGGGCCGTACAGAGGCCTTGGGACACGACATGGCGTACAACATTGGAGCGATAGCTGCAAACAGGCTCGGATATCCAACGCGCTTTATCGCCGCTTCTTCTACTTCCTTTCCGGCGGTGACGAACGTGTTGGGGAGCTTCTTGAGGAGACGCTAGAGACGGGTCAAAACTTCCTGACCTTGGATCCTTATCGTAAAGTTCGCAAAGATCGGGAAACCTATAAGCCAGATCCACATGGTGTTGAAATCAGTCTCGGCACGGATTGGGCAGCGCTGGCTGCATCTTGGCTCATCGAGTATGAGCGTCTCGGACCAAGATGGATCGAAGCCAAGAAGAAGCTCTTTGCGTCTATCGAAGGTATTGGTAGACTGACGAACGGTTTTGTCACTGGCAACGTGACGTACGACCCCGCAACCGGAAACATCACTCCTCCATTGGTTGATCCTGAAAACAGAGGAGTTGTGAAAGTAAGCCATTTGAGCGCCATGTTTGGATTGTTTGAGGTCGCTGCAGAGATCTTCCAACTATTCCCTGAGCAAGCCAAAGCTTCTGGCTTCAGAGCAGCGTGGCTGGACTACTGTGCTTTCTTTAGCGCCAGCGCAAGTGAACAGGAGGCTCAATTTGGACAATCTGGTTGGGGGCAACTTCAACTTCGTCAAGGCCATTCTCGCTTAACGGCCTTTGCAGCCAGAGAATTGAGTAGACCTGACCTAGTCAAGCGTGCACTGGAAGAATTCGAAAATGGAGATTCATTTCGCGACTTTGTACCCAATGTGCCTTGGACGAGCACTCGTATTGATGAGGCGTACGTCCTTGAACCCACTGATGAGGCACCCTGGGTATCTACAAACATCGCAGCGCTCTATGGTCTGTCGGGTATTCAAAATTTGGCTCTCATCACAGACGAATAGGTCAAACCAACTTCAGCCTTCAGGAAGCCTCGAAATTCCACATTGGAAAAAACGGTCTATTGAATTGGCTTTACTTACAAACGCGAATAACATTTTCCTCAACCTTATGCCGATGTGACCTGCATCTTGCGAATTTCGTACTTAGTGACTTATTTACCGCAGAACAAGATTAAACGTTGTTGAAAAGAAGGTGTGTGGGGTTTGCATACAAATCCTCCAAATCATGTGCAATTCCTGGTGAACTGGTGTTCAGCTCATCTTGACTTTGCGCGATGCGCGAACCGATTTCTTCATCTGGAAGAACCAGAGTGCGGGCAACTCCGAAGTGATCTGTGCACCACCACCGGGAACCAGTAAGGAGTTTTGACAGTCGAGGCATGAGGAGACTGCACTGAATTTGAGTTCGTATCCGAAACAAGATCGGCCAAACCTCTTTGTAAGGTTTCGTCTTAACAAACAACAAACCGGCTGCTTGCGCCGCACCCCTCGGCGTACTACCATCTTGCAACACCACATGTTCGGGATCACCCATGGCATCGATCTGCGTAATCCATTGCGAAGACAAAAGTCTCTTCATCGGCCAGAAACCGAGTCCGATTGACAGGCTCGACTGAGACTGACGCGCGCTTACGGACCAATCCCTCTCATCTGAAGAACAGGTGGTTTATTGCGCAGGCCCATGATCCTTTGCGTTCTTGATCACCCGTTGAGCCTTGCTGGAACCCGCCAACCGGCGTAACAGATCAGGATCGCAGGATTCCAGCTCTCGGAACAAACCAACAGATGTGCTTCTTGCCAAGGTGAACAAGTGGCCTTGTTTTCACTATTGTGGAACTTTCTACGCACTGCACAAACAGTGTGTTGGTTCAACTTGGGCTGAGGATGTTGAATGCAGGGGAGGGCGCAAGGGGGCGGCGTCGAAATTAAGTTAACTGACGCTGGGGTCGAGGGAAGCTGAGCATAACATATTTGCTAGCAAAATACTGATAAATATGTTAGTCGCACTCAATCGGCAGCCGCCCATTTGCCCGCCGCCAGGCTTTTAGCGCCCGTCGCACCGAACAATCACTGCTCCGCACTCGCCAATGAGCCAATAATAGATGCTACCTTCAATGCTCTCTCGCATGATACCCTCAAGCTTTCACATATCCCTGTCTTCTGACAGATGCGCCAACTTTGGCCGACTACATTTCTACCGATGTTCCCGTTCGGTCGCTGTTCCGAGATGGACATCTCATCTCAAAGCTGTTCACCTGGTCCAAAGTGCCATCCGACAGCGCCATGATCCTTCCTCGCCGGCCGCCGCGGCTGCTTCTCGTCGTCGCGACCACATTCATCCTAATTCTACTCATCTATAACCCATACTGGCTATCTGCGCCCAAGAAAGCGCCAAGACCAGTGCAGCACAATATTCAGTTCAGACCGAGCTCGTTCAACTGGACGGCCGCCCGACAATTCCATCCCGTGTCGACCCCCTTGGCGCGTCTACCGACAGGCAACCCGCTCAAGCTTCCCCGAATTCAAAATGATTTCGGCGTCGCGAACCCACACCCAGAGGCACCGAAGCGTCAGAAGGCCGTCCGAGACGTCTTCAAGAAGAGCTACGATAGCTATAAGCGTTATGCGTGGACGCGGGACGAGCTCGAACCGGTGACTGCGGGAGCCAAAGATACATTTGGAGGATGGGCGGCGACACTCGTGGACTCGCTAGACACTTTGTGGATCATGGGCTTCAAAGAGGAGTTCTACGCTGCGGCTGAAGTTGCGGTCCAAATGGATTGGGCGAAGACGGCGGAGAAGAGCGCGAATATGTTCGAAACCACGATCCGTCATTTGGGCGGCCTTCTTAGTGCGTACGACTTGAGTGGGGAGATTGCTCTCTTGGAAAAGGCCAAGGAACTCGGGGATATGCTGTACATGGGCTTTGATACGCCCAATCGCATCCCGGGATTCTGGCTGAATTTCGAAGACGCCACTAAGGGAACTCAACTTGCGGGTACTCACGATCCATCGGCTTCTCCCTGTTCCCTTTCTCTCGAGTTTACTCGATTGTCGCAGCTTACGGGAGATATGAAGTACTTTGATGCAGTAAACCGCATCACTCGCTTCCTCGAACGCACTCAGTTCAAGTCGAAGCTTCCCGGGATGTGGCCGAAGATGATCGACTTCCAGAACGAACGCGTCGACTCTGACGGATTTTCTCTGGGCGCACTTGCGGATTCTCTGTATGAGTATTTGCCGAAAATGTACGCTCTCATGGGCGGCTTGGACAAAGCATACGAGAAGATGTACATCGGTGCCATGACGATTGTGGAACAGCACATCCTCTTCCGGCCGATGATGCCAGAATCGGAGGACGCCAACATACTTTTCGCAGGGGAGGTTTCTGTGCACTCCGACAAGATTGACCATGTTGCTGACGGTCAGCATTTGTCCTGCTTTGTTGGCGGAATGCTGGGTCTGGGCGGAAAGCTCTTCTCCATCGATGATCACGTCGACCTGGGGGATCGTGTTGCTCGTGGATGTGCCTGGGCCTATGACGCGATGCCGACAGGCATCATGCCAGAAATCTTCGGTCTCATTGGGTGTTTCTCGGTGAAAGAGAAATGCCCGTGGGATGAGAAGAAGTGGGAGCAAGATGGCGACAAGAGGTTGAAAAAGGGATTCAGGAATGCTCGCGATCCCAGGTACATTCTGCGACCCGAGGCCATTGAGAGCGTGTTCCTCCTCTACAGGATGACCGGAAAGCAAGACTTGCAAGATATTGCATGGCGTATGTTCCAGTCTATCATCAAAGCGACTGGGACGGAACACGCCAACTCAGCGATTGCGGATGTGACAGTCCCCCCCGACAAAACTCACAAGATAGATTCCATGGAGGTTTGTCTCATTCTTCCAAAGCGATTTAGCTACCTTGAAATCTCTGGTATGATGCTGATCATCTTTTTAGAGCTTCTGGCTTGCGGAGACATTAAAATATTTCTATCTCATTTTCTCGCCTCACGAGCTGATAAGCTTGGACGATTTTGTGTTCAACACAGAGGCACACCCTTTTAGAATCCCGAAGTAGGGCAAAGAAGAGTTTGGATAAAAAGTTGACCTGGGCGATATTTTTCGCATCATCGATGATAAGCGGGCAACGGGTTCAGCAGGCGTTTGGGGTTATGATGGGCTTGCGGGTTAAGATGGCATATACTGTAAAATCATTTCGTAGCTGCGTAGGCGTGCTCCCAGTCACCCTCGAATCAAAGCAACAATTTTGGGGCATTCATGTAGACGAGTCTTTTCCCAACGTGATGTGTACTAATAAGTTCTGAACCATCTACAGATCCTAACGCTCGGCTGGAATCGTCCGGTCAAAGCCTTGTTTCTGCACAGGTAATCATGGGATCCGTCTCAAACATGACATCGCAGAAGCGAGCGATAATGTATTGCTTCCAGGCATCGTTGATCATAGAGATTCTAGAATGATCGATTTAGGAAGGTCGTTGAGTTGAACCAGAAAATGTGCACACTATTTCCTGCGAGTGGCTGACACCAATACTAGTTTGCAACCCAGCATTTGCCCACGTCTACGTACAGGAATTTCGGCGCTTACTTATCTCAGTAATCAGTTCATCAATTGGCAGGATTCAACCATATCACGATATCGCGTCACACCACGCGATCAAAATAGTCAGAGCTGTTGGAAGCACAAGACAACGACTAGAAAGACCTGCTTCTTTTGATATTTGTGCCGATGCGCAAAGCCCAAGAGCGAGTCTCGACGTCACGAAGAATACGGAAACGCGGCAACGAAAACTCTTGTCCAGGCGTTAAGCATCCAAGAGTCTTGGAAAGTCTTGGTGTTGTTGAGCTTGGCGGCCTGGGCAAGGGAAGTTACTGCGGGGAGAGGACAATTCCGTGTGGAGGCATTTATTGCCAAGAGACAATAAGAAATGAGGTGCACTATCTCAATCGGATACGTACTGCGATGCCGAGAGACTAACTTGCCTTGGTATGCCTGCCCCTCCGCTTTCTCGCAGCTCGATAGCCGTGCTGAAGAAGGAAGGTCGTTTTGTCATTTCAGCTCGAGTGGTGGGAAAATCAACATTGTGGGCTGCTCGAGCTTTGGTGGTCTGAATATCATCGTGTTCGCCTTGGGCCGAGATATCAACGGTGACAACATGAGGCTTTCACCGGATTTGGGCCCTGGTCAAATGCTGCAGACAAGCTGATACCTTTCCGGCTAAGTCCTTTCCCACCTTGGCCATTCGGCTCACAGCTCCCTATTTTGGCTACCAACCTCTCAGGCCCAATGCAACGCTGACGCGATCTCGCTTAGCCATAGCTTTCCTATCTTTCGACGACACGCGATGCCCTCACTGCCTTATCACTCAGACCACTTTACGAACCATGCTTCTCAAGATGCAAACAACCCGACACTCCTCTTCGCCAACTTGACCAAGGAAAATGGATTGAAGCTGGCGAAGGCGAGAGGCGTTTCATGCTTATTTACCTCCTTCCATCCTTGAGCTAGTCTCCGTCTTGTGCACTTGGCAACCCCTTGGCATCCAACAATTGGCAATGTCTCATTGGCAGCTGATGCTTTGCATCGATTCTCGGCATCAATGATCGCTAGGTTCGCTTAAACTTGCTTGATACTACCATTGGGTCGTAGAAACATGGCTGGACTGCCGAAATGTGATAAACCCCTGGTCTCTGCGGTCTCGACTGAGCGCAAAAGTCTATCCTTCTCCGGCGGCATGGCCCGTACAGGGTCCTGAACAGTGCCGCCCGAAGCCCCCAATTCGTGGCGACATGGTGATTTCATGCCTTTCCTAATGACCGAGGCTTTCTTTTGGTAGGAACTGTTTGCCTAATGTACAACAGGTCTTCTCGAGTACGGGTAAGACGACATTGTCAATGCGTTTGCGTGATATTAATAAAGATACCAGACTTGTTCGTCCTGTTCGTGTGACTACCTTAGAACGGCCCACGATAGCATGACCCCTTCGGCAGAGGCTCCGGGGGCATTCCGTGCGGGGCTGCGATGGGCAATACTCATACTCGAGGTGTTATCTGCAAGGTTGAGATCTTGTCGTCCCAATGTGATCAGCAGCTGCAGCAAACCTTAACGACCATCCGTCTTGATATTAGCTACCCCTTGGCAACGGTCTGCCCTGTCCAACCTACCTTCCATGTTTTCATCCTAAGGCCGTCTAGGCAGACTGGGCGCTGCTTCGTCTTCCTTTTTCTCGCTAGCTCAAGCATCGAGGCCCTTCAATACGCATGTCTGTTACCAGGTCTATGAGATACATGTCAACATCAGCATCGACTGAGAGGAGGGTCTTTAGTATAAAGCGGCCGGTATCGAAGCGGCGAGTCCACGGCTCTTCTCCTGTCTCACCATCAACTCATACCTCCTCACAGTCTCTGATCTTGCCTCTTGGTTCCTGTCTCCACAATGAAGTTCTCTCTCGGAGTTTCCCTCCTGGCCACGCTCGCCAGCGCCGTGTCTGTCGACATGGCCAAGCGCGACACCTCTCCCCTCGACGTCAAGCTCGAGACCGTCGGCAACTCCGGTGTCAAGGCCGTCCTCACCAACACTGGTGACTCAGCCCTCAAGCTCTTCAAGACCGGCACTATTCTTGACACTGCCCCTGTCGAGAAGGTCGAGGTTTTCGCTTCTGGTATTTATGTCGTGCCTAACCGGAACGGAGCCGAGTGCTAATTCCCTCCACCTAGGCAACAAGGTTGAGTTCGATGGTGTCCGTCTCCTGATGGCCACCTCCGGCTTGACCGAGGAAGCTTTCCAGGTCATCGGCGCCGGCGAGTCCGTCGAGGTCGAGTTCGATGCTGCCGAGCTTCACGACCTTAGCACCGCTGGCGAGATTGACATCGTCAGCTCCGGTGCCTTCTCTTACGCCGAGGCCGACTCCACCGAGCTGGCCGGCACCATCCCCTTCTCTAGCAACAGTGTTCACACTGCTGTCAACGGCGAGGAGGCCGCTGCCGTCCGCGCCCGCTTTTTGGCCAAGCGCACGGTCGTTCAGTCCGACTGCACCGGCACCCGCCGCACCGCTACTGTGGGTCTCACCCGGCGTCATCTCCGTCTCGCTCCAGCTTCGCGTCGGACATATGCTACCTACCTCCTGTCTGCCGTCGTCCATCAAATAACTGCAGAAATACCTGTCATTCACTTTCTCTTTTATCAATTAGACTCACACTGGGTATTCTGATTGAAGTTCGCTAACATCGTCTTTCCTAGGTCAACGCCATCAGCCGTTGCCGATCCCTCGCCGTCGCCGCCTCCTCGGCCGCTGCCTCTGGCCCTGCTGCTCGCATGACTGAGTACTTCAAGTCTTCCACGTGAGTTTTGTTCTGAAGAAGATTCGAAGCATTCTCATCGCTGACGCACACACCATCAGCACCGCTACTCGCAACACCGTCGCCACCGTCTTCTCCAGAATCGCCAGCGAGTGCGGCAGCACCACCTCTGGTGTTTCCCGCCAATACTGCACTGACGTTTACCCTGCCTGCTCCAACGGTGTCATCGCCTACACTCTGTCGGTTCCACCTTGATCCCGATGTGCGTTGGTGGAGATGCTGACCATCAACCCAGGCCGTCCCAAAGCTACATGGTTAACTGCCCTCTCTTCTTCACAATGACTGAGGCTTCTAGCACTTGCCATGCCCAGGACAGGCAAACTACCATGTACAATCCCCTGCCTTCGAACGAAGGACATCGCTGACGTAAACTCCTACAGCCTCCACGAGATGACTCACCTTACCCAGATCCGAGGCACTTCTGACTGTGCGTTACTCTCTCTCGTTCTTCGTGGCTCAGGTCTTTGACTACGTGAAACCCATTGCAAATTTGTACTTGAACCTAGAATATCTCATTGACTGACCAACACATCAGACGGCGGTTACGGATATAACTTCGTACGCTCTCTCACCGCAGCGCAGAACCTCAACCACGCCGACACTTACAGTAAGTCCTGAACCTATTTCTTCCCTATTAAATTAATGCTAACAATTTCACACAGCCCTCTTCGCCCAATGTAAACCTTCCGCATCGCACCCTCGCTTTTTGTATGACACGGTGCTAACTTATGGAACTAGCTATTTACGCTGGCTGCTAAAATGCTCGCCCTCGGGACCAATCTGGAAGAGGAATTCAACGATTATCAAAGGCTGCAAGGCAGCAAGGAAGTGGAGAATGGAGATGGCTAGTCACCTATGTAGGGGTATGTAGTAGCATCATGCTGTATCTTCCACCAATGCCTCCGAGTCAGTTCGAGGGTAAACACGGGAGGGTAGAACATAAATTGATGCTTCAACTTTGAGGGAAGAATCTAAGCATTAAAGTGACGAAAGCATTTGAGTGACAACCACTGAAGAATAACGCCCCAGAAGAACGACAAGCAGATTGTCCTTTGAGAGTGTACGTTGAAGTCTTATCAATTTAGAGGTCAAACAAAAACGGACATGAAAGATCTGTAAGAGGACGTTTCTTTCAAGATAGGTCACATTCAGTCAGCTAAACCAGTTCCTCCTGAGTCCTCTGAAAATTATGAGAATCTCAGGTGAATTGAAACACCTCATCTAAAGTGTCAGCTCTTAATCTTCACATGTAAGCGCCCTCAAGTTGACTCTTGTGAATTGCCATGTCTGTGAATCTACCATGCATTGATGACCTCTCTCTCTCTTTCTGGCCTTCCACAACATTGTTGACATGCGCGTAGGTAATCTTCATGAGATGACCCATCTTACCCAGATCGCCGGAACTTCCGACTGCATGTTCATGCCAGATAGATATGCTGCCAAGCTCTCGACAATTTTGACTGATGAATCATCAGACGGTGGTTACGGATATAACTTCGTTCGCTCTCTCACCGCAGCGCAAAATATTCGGCATGCCGACAAGATCTTTCCCCATCCCTCTCTCTCTCTGCTGCTCTGATCATGCTGACTCATTTACTTCGTAGCGCTCTTTGCTCAATGTAATCACTTCCCGTCCTTTGTATCTGACATAAAGCTGACCTGGAAACTAGCCATCTACGCTGACTGCTGAACCTCCATCCT